TGAATAACTTCCCACCGGAATTTATTCAAAAATGTATGAACAACCATAGAATAACTAAGATTAGCAATAAAAATGATGAAAGTAATATAGAATTCAAAGCCTCTGTAGTACAGCCGTATAAAGAAGGATTCTCATTGAGGCTGCAGTTAGGGTGGCATTTAAACTAACCAACCAATTCTCTCAGAGATAAACTTTGTCGACTTAAGGACCCAATAGATCCAATAATAATATAATTTACTAAATACCATGTAATGACTGTGAGGTCAATTTCATAGGTTAAACTAGTAGATCAGGATCGACTAGATTATCGGAACATAATTTAGCCAGACCTAGAATAATTGACCCTGCTAAGTTAAATAACCTAGAAAAAAGCCCAGCCATTGCACTGTATTCACTTGCACGTAATTACACAGTAGGTGGGGTGGGACATGAGCCACGGCTTCTCTTCTCTTTTTTCTCTTTTTCTCTTTTTTTGAGGATATCAAAGCAAGGATCGGGAAAGCAAGACAAGCTTTCACTACCTACTCTCAAGTCTGTGTGGAGGTCAACAACACTCAGCATCAAAAATAAGATCCGGATTTTCAACTCCAATGTGAAGTCAGTCAGTGCTACTATACGGATCAGGGACTTGGTCAGTCACAAAGGGCACTTCAAACAAACTACAGACCTTCATTAACAGTTGTCTTCGCTCAATACTACTCAAGATCAGATGGCTGGCCAGAAAACATCAGCAACAGAGATCTCTGGCAATGAGCGAACCAACCAGGAACCGATTGTGCAACAAATAAGCAAGACGAAATGGAGGTGGATTGGCCATACTCTGAGGAAACCATCAAGTGACATCACTAGACAAGCCATTGCTCGAGTGGAACCCGAAAGGGAAGCGGCGAGTTGGTCGTCAATGCAAGGGTGACTTGGAGGAGATCATGTGAAGAGGAGATGAAAGCATGTGGGCAGACCTGGAGCCAGGTGAAAACTTTGACAGAGAACCGAACTCAATGGAGACGTGCAGCTGAAGCCCTATATTCCTCTAGGAATTAAAGGAAATAATAATAATGGGGTGGGACAAATTAAGAGAATTAAAAAGTAATATAGTTAGGTGGAGAGAGAGGCTAATCACTGAAGCTTTGTTTATCGATTCATGAAATCAGAATGATACAACACCTAGACTGGAGATATGGAAAGTGATAACAAACAACAAAGGGAAGTTGAAGAGACAGAAAGAGAGAAAATATACATATATATATACAAGACAAATTGTGAGACTGTGTATCTAATTTGATATGATTATGAATGGCAATAATTTATGCTCTAAACCTTGTCATCCAGTTGTTAATGCTGGATTAGTGTGTAACATTTAAAATAAACTTATCTAATATGGGACTACCTTTTACCACAGTGCCCAAGTTCTACGCTTACATTAGGTTTTTGTTTTCTCTAACACTCATCAACTAGGAACATCTATGCAATTCATTTCACTGCACAAACGAAACTTGTTATCCTCTCGCCGAAATAAACTACTCTAGGATCAAGTGTGTTCTGACAAGGTCTGTGAATTCAGTAATAGACGATCTAGGTTTGAACATTTGAAGGAGAATGAATATTTCTGACCACTCCCCTCCCCTCCCCAAAAAAATGTCAACCCTTGAAATCAGCATCAACAAATATTTAATCCAAGTTCAAGTCTTAAACATCACTGGGACAGACAAAGCTTTATTGGTTGACTTCAAACTTCATTGTGAATTTCTTATAAGTTATAAGAATCAATTTAAAAATAGTAGCATAGCATATGCAATAAAGAAACAAATGAAGCTTCTGTTCATATATATATTTTCCAATAACATTTATAAGATAATATTTTTTTTCCTTTAAAAAATTACAATATCATAAAATTTCCTTCATTAAAATAGCATACATTACACAAAAAAAAACAACAAACAAAAACTAATCGATTGGTTTTTAGATGAACATCTGTTAATTTAATAATTGCTTTGGCAAAATAACTAGCATATGTATATATATATATATATATATATATATATATATACAAATATAATTCTCCATATGATCGATTTATTTTAGATTACTGATAGATAATCTATTATAAATATATCTAGTTCATTACTGATGCCTAGTTAGATAACAGAGAAAACTCTATTAATGTTGATATTTTGACTTGCCTTAACCAACGGGTTATACACAGTTTTATCTGTGAACCTTTACTGTAGGAAATCTGTCTGTTTGTCTGTTTTCGACCTAGAACTTTGCACATATGTGCGACAGTTCAAGTCGCCACACTCCATGTAGCACACAAAGCAAGAGAAGAAAGTAGGAGAAATGCATAATATAGACAGTAAACAGAGGTGTGAAACAAAGGAATAGTAATCACGAAGAACAAAACAGTTTCATTGGAAATCGTAAGTCACAAGGAGTGGATGCATCTGCGCCTGCCATTGAGACCGATTTTGAGCCATATCACTAATTGTTTCCAACCATTGGTTTTTACCGTCCTGAGGACCCCAACCAGGAAGTCTACACCTTCCTACGTGGTTTGGACTAACTGTTGTAGATTTCATTGACTGGTGCCATGATTTGCTTTGACCACCGCTAGCTCTTTTCCAGCCTGACCCCATGTCAGTTAACATTGCCCTTCGGTCGAGGAAGGCGATGACTAGGCATACGTAACACATGTCCTAACCATCTCAGTCGATGTAACTTCACAGCCTCGTCGACTGATTTCTCCTCCTTACCTAGCACTCGACGCCTTTACAGAAGTTTGATCGAACTATATAAAGTGAAAATAATTTGTGCTGCAGTATTTACAGTAGTCTGGAATTGATCACTTTGTGCAAATCAATTCGTAGTGGCATATACATCATCAGAGAATGAAAAATAAACACCTCACTATAGTGACGTGTGTTACTGATAAGATTTACCAGAAGTATATAAAGAGACGTTCATCAGCACAAAAACATCAAAATGGCAGGGAGACATTTTTGATGATTTCAGAGAAAGCAAGTGATACAACATGTCGGAGATACATGCGAGATGTGATAGGAACACAAATAAACACAATATGAATGAAGGTCAGAAGTAGGAGAACACTGGAGATCTGTGCAGATGGTGCAATGAAGATAAGGTGTACATAATTTCGCTATATAAAGATACCATAACATCATTACTTTCAGGTCGAAGTGGGATATAAGACTTCAGTAGTACACTATTTTACTCTGTTCTATAGGTTCTAGGTTGGTTCGTTTCAAGAGTTATTTATTGCTCATCCTTTCTGGCCATCTAATCTTAAGTATGCAGAGAAGGCGGCTGTCGATAAATGTCTGAAGACAGTTGGAAATGCTTTTAGCGGCGCACCAAGTCTCTAAGCCATATGGAAGCACTGAATGAATTGACATTAAAGTTTAAAATCCCAATATTGTTCCTTATGCTAAGTGCAGAAGTGTGAGGGGTGACTTCCTTTAGAACTGTTTCGTTGATCGTGACTGTCGCTTGTTGTTGTTGATTGAGTGTCTTCATTACCTCTGTCATGTCTATGTTAAGTTGAAGTTCTGTCATCCCTAATGGCTCTTGTTGGTTTTCACCTGTTGGTCTTCAAGTTTCTGCAACATCAGTAGTAAGTCATCCGTGAAGTTTAGATCTTCTAGATTCTTCTTGTCAGTCCACACTACGCCTGTATTCCCACGATTACCAGCCATACATTTCATTTATGGGAGAACTCTTTTTTACATTACAAATAAAATCAATCGAATCCACAGTATTTTCATGAACAGCCAGACCACATCTGGTCCTATCTTATGTAAAAATTACACAATTCAATAGTGTCCCTGAAAAATAGACAGAACAGTCTTAGTCCAGAGGCCTGTTTATGTCTTTCAACCACAATTATACACTAAATATACATCATTTTAAGTTGTTTTAACCAGTCACATTTATACTCAGGCGCATTTTTAAATAGCTTTCAGTATACTGCTATGCATATTTTTGTGTGTGCTTCACATAAAGCAATATTTCACTAAGTGGCGTACTATTGACTACTTGAAGGGGGAGTAAATAAACTGAAATAAAACAGGTTGAGAATCCCATATTGTGTTCCGAGGTCATTCTAGGGTTGTGGTGAAAGCTGGCTGCGAACAAGCCAAAATTGTAAACAACAATTTACATCAGTGTTACGTCCGGAATCAGGGTCATGAGAAGAACGATAACAAAGCTTAACCTTGAGGAACCCACCAACCAATCACAGCGGAACTAACGTGTGCAAATAGGATTTGCAGATATGTGGCTTTACTTTCTGAAAAATGGTCACAAGTAGTACAGATTAACCTTCAGCAAGAAAACAATCAATCAGGAGACGTTGTTTCTCCGCTGACAACAATGTACATAAATTCTATAAATAAGTCTTGATTTTCTCGATAAACAATCAGTTGCCTGGCTCTTGTCTTCTGTCGTTACAGGGTAATGCTATAGTAGTTATTTTATTATTATAAACAAGTTTATATTAGGTAGGGTCTCGCAGTATCACTTAATGACTCTATTAAAATACCGTCAGCTTCCAATTTCTACGATAAGTGAGCAAATATCACATTTCACGTAGACTGTACTAAAAGCTTAAGAGTTTGCTTAGCTCCTATAGATTCAATGAAACCAATCATAACGAATAAAAATATGGCTGTGTGGAGATGTGGCACACTGGCTTAAGCACTCAGTCTTGAGCTAATGGGTTACGCCTTGGGCAGCAGGATAGTGTCGTCAGCCCTTACAGGTTAAGTGTGGATCTTAACCAGATTACGCGAAAAAAATCTGTTCCAGGGAACTTGGACTCTTTAACAAGGACCTGACTCACTAAACAGATCTTTCATCTTATGTATTCATAACACCTAAAGGTACGTTTGTTACCAGAATACTACAATTTTGGTTAATTGTAAAATTATTACATGAAATAAGTATACTACCAGTCTAAAAAAATATAATCAAAAAATGAATCTTACCGTAACTACATGCAAACAATCCATCAAGTGTTTCTGTTGCAATAATATCAAATCTTCAAATGTAAGTTTACTTTTCTGCTGAGATTTTTGTAGTGATGCATTTTCTTTTCTACTCTTCCCTTTACTTCCTGTGCGTTTATGATGATTAGTGATGATGATGATCATTATCAGAGGATTTTTTGTTATCTGAACTTGAATTAGCCAGACTACTTTGACTAGCAGGATGAATATAAATAGGCAGGAAAGGTGTTTTCTTATTTTTATCAGTAATATTACAATGTCGATACTTTTTACTCCAACTATGTTCCCCATTATGAAGAGATCGTGTACGACTTACTGTTTTACACTTTTTACTTGATCTTTTTATAGATGAATTTGAGACCTGAAAGAAGATTAAAAAATAAATACAAAATCAAAAAAGAGTGTATGATAAGACAAATTATATCTGAACAAAGCGGTAATAACAAAAACAACACATGATGCAGGATAAAATTAATCAATTGTTTATTTCGTCAGTATCTTGCCAGATGCATATAACCTAAATTATTATTGTTATTATTATTGTTCCCTTGAGTAACGAGTGGAACATAGAACTTCAACAACACATCTCCGCTCTCTTCTATTTTCTGTTGTCCTCTTCAGCTTGACGAACAACTGCCCATAATCTGTCATTTCCTGCTCCAACTCACACGATCTCCTCCATATCGCTCCCGCACTGATGATCCACTTGAGATGTGGTGTCATTCGATAACCTCCTCAGTGTCTGTGTCCAATCCATCTCCATTTTATCATATATGTTTGTTGAACCATAGGTTCTTGGTTGATTTGTTCATCACTAGAGTTTCTTGTTGATGATTCATTCTGACCAGCCAGTCATTTGATCTTCGAAATGGAGTCAGCGAAGGCAGCTGTTGGTAAAATTCTGCAGTGGCCTGCTGGAAATATTTCGTGACACACTGGCCAAGCAGAAGATTTCCAAAGTGGTTTCATATTTATGAATTAGTATCTTGCCTTCCCGATTCTGGCTGGTTTTAGCATCTTCATCCTAGTTTACTAGCTCGATAGTTTTGTAGCCGGTGCCAAGACCTGGACAAACGAAAGCGTTGGGCATGGAGCTAGGGACCCTACCCCAGAAAATCAATCAAACTGCTCCAGAAACTTCAACACACAAAAGACTACAATATAAATAATGAAATTTAATGGCTATATTGCATTTTTAACATACTTTAGTTCATTGGTGAGAAAAAACGTGGAACAATAGTTAAGAATGATCATGATATATAGATAAATGAAAGCGCTAAGTGAGTAAAACGCCACTATACTGTATAATGTAACTAAATTTTCTCGAATAAAACAAAAAACGGGGTAGTAAAGGCAACTACAGGCTTCCTACTGGAGAAAAATTAAAAGCATGCTGATGATACACATATTCTTATTTCATTTCTATCTATTGCGTTACTAGTGGAATATGGGACTATGAGCTATGAATTTCCACCAGCAGCGGTGTTTATTTTTTACGGGGTGGGTTTGCTCCCCTCACGCCCAACCTTCCATCTTTACCAGGCTTACTGCAGGTTAAGCAAGGTTATGGAGTGCGTCGGTCGGAAATCGAAGCTGGACAATGTGGGCGGTTGGCGTGCACTCTCCCACCAAACCACTGGTGTAAAGAAAACTGTCTTGTTTTCTTTTTGGCGAAGGGATTCAGTCTATTTATCTGGGAAGATTCCACAATGTCCTATTCAGCTTGATCAATCAGCCAAACCTCACGTCCCTTGTATTCTCTTAGTTATTTTAGAAGTACTTTCATCTGTTTATTAAGTTTGAATAATTTTTCAAAACGTTATTACTGTTATTCCCTTAGGTTTCAAGTGAAACATAGAGCTTCATACATTACATCTCCGCGTCATCTTCTCTGCAGTCCGCTTTAGCTAGCTCGATGATTGTCTAGAACCTCTTACCTACTCCTCATATGACCTCCTCCATGTCATCCTCGGACACCCAGCTCGTTGTTTCCTCCTAGGGATCAAGACGCCTTCCTTTATAAACACCTATAGTAATTATTCACTTTTCTGTGCGTTATCTGTGAAATCTTCACCAGACTTTTTCAACAAAATTGTATTTTACTAAATAACTTTTTTCTTGGAGGACCTCAAATGTGAATGAAAACCATATGAGTGTCATCAAAAGCATGGGAATATTCATAGATTGAATTGTTCCTTGAACTATGGATTCGTTCGGTGAATATTTTATCTCCAACGTAGATCTCACCATCAATACACCATTACTGGTACAATATGTACTAGTGCTGACAAAAGAAAAGGAATTCGTGTACTTGAAACATTTATGAACTTTAGTTTAGTCAAACTGACAGTTATTTATCAAATGTTGGTTTGCCGGGATCTCATTGGTTACCAGATTGATCATAAGCTGACATCAGTTAGAGAACCAAGTCAGGCGAAACGACAGTTACTTGCCAGTGACACTGGCTGGTAAACGCGCTAAATATTATTATTATTTCCTTTAGTTCCTAGAGGAACATAGGGCTTCAGCCATGCGTCTCCATTGCGTTCGGTTCTCTGCTAGAGTTTTCACTTGGCTCCAGGTCTGCCCACATGCTTTCATCTCCTCTTCACATGATCTCCTCCAGGTCACCCTTGGACGACCAACTCGTCGCTTCCCGTTCGGGTTCCACTCGAGGCCTTGTCTAGTGATGTCACTTGCTGGTTTCCTCAGAGTGTGGCCAATCCATCTCCATTTCTTCCTGCCTATTTGTTTCACAATCGGTTCCTGGTTGGTTCGCTCCCAGAGATCTTTGTTGCTGATCCTTTCCGGCCATCTGATCTTGAGTATTGAGCGAAGACATCTGTTAATGAAAGTCTGTAGCTTGTTTGAGGTGCTTTTTGTGACACGCCAAGTCTCTGATCCGTATAGTAGCACTGACTGGCTTCACATTGGAGTTGAAAATCCCGATTTTATTTTTGACGCTGAATGATGTTGATCTCCACACAGACTTGAGAGTAATGAAAGCTTGCCTTGCTTTCCCGATCCTTGCTTTGATATCCTCGTCAGTTCCGCCTGTAGTTGAAACGATGCTTCCCAAGTCGGTAGGTAAAGGAGGTTGTTTCTTTCAGTTTCTTTCCATTTATGCTGATTGCTGTCTGTTGTTGTTGGTGTTGGCCAGGAATCTTCATCACCTCTGTTTTCTCTATGTTCACCTGGAGTCCTATCTTTGATGCTTCTTCTGCCAACTTGTTACTTTTCACTTGCATATCTTCCAGTTTGTGGGAAATCAGGCATATATCATCGGCGAAGTCCAGATCCTCCAAGTTCTTTGTGTGAGTCCATTTTATGCCTGTTTCCTCATTGCCCGCTGTTTGTCGCATTATCCAATCTACCGCAATCAGGAAAATCATTGGCGATAGTAGGCAACCCTGTCTTACTCCTGTCTTCACTTCGAAGGATTCCGTGAGCTTCCCGTTGTGGATTACTTGGCATGCAGCGTTGTCATACAACTGTTGGATGAGATGTATAATTGTCGGTGGCACCCCGTAGTAGCGAAGTAGTTGCCAAATCACCTCTCGATCGACGCTGTCGAAGGCCTTTTCAAAGTCGATGAAGTTGAGATAAAGAGGTGACTGCCATTCCAGACTTTGTTCAATGATGATCCGTAGTGTGGCGATTTGATCAATACATGACTTGTTTCTCCTGAATCCAGCTTGTTCTGGTCGAAGTTTTTCATCCAGGGCTTGTTTGATCCTTTCCAGGATGATGCGGCTTAGTATTTTGCTTGGGATGGACAGGAGCATAATTCCGCGCCAGTTCTTGCATTGACTTAAGTCTCCTTTCTTTGGTAGTTTGAATAGGTATCCTTTCTTCCAATCCTCGGGTACTTTGCCTTCTTTCCACACCTTCTCCAGTAGTGGCGTCATCAAGTCTGCTGTTGTCTCTGGGTCCACTTTCAATGCTTCTGCCGGGATTCCATGTGGTCCTGCTGCTTTTCCAGCGCTAAATATATATATCACAAATTGGCAGAAGTTTGAATTCATGGAATGGCATTTGGACTGGGTCCCCGTGGCTTAACAGTCTGTGAGCCTCGTAAACGAAAGGTCTTGGATTCGAACTTCGGTGTGTGAGTAATGGTGAAGAGTCCCAAACTGGGACGAAACAGCTGTCCAGTACTCCTGGCTTTTCGAGTGGTTCTATAACCGATTTCAGCTCGTGATCAGTCCTTTCAGTTATTTATCAACGAAATATATGGTATATTAAAACATAGTAATACTTATTATGCTTCAAAAGATTCATCTAACATTTTAAAGATTTATGATATCTATCAGTTCAAGATTCCACTCACATTATTGTTTATGTTTTCTGATGTCTGATAGTCACTTTCGCCTGATGTATGACTCAGGCCTTGAGCTTTGCTTTTCGCAACTAGTGTACGATCTGAACCAGGTGATGTATGCTTTAGTAATCCACTCAATAAATGATTAGATGTTGGAAGTTTCTTTGAATACTGCATGTGTAAATTATTAAATACTGAATTATCTTCATGAACAGACGACGCTTTAGCAATTTCTTCAGTTTCTTTTCTTGGTATACTTACCGATTGACTTCGAATCAATTGAGGTTGTTGGTCGAATTTGAAATCACTATCTGTAGAGTTTTTCAATTCCTGATGAATTTGATCTTCATTTGTAGAGAGACTAGTAGCAAATGCAGACAATGGTGAGGTGGATGAATATTGTACATTTGCCTTTTCATCAAAATAATGACATTTTTTCCTCTTTTCCTCACCTTCCTCTCCTTCATCACTTGATCCTTCTGGACCTTCAGATTTTTCTGCACAGGCATTAACAGTTGCCATTAGTTGAGCTAATCTTATCCTGGCTTGTCTAGCACGCTAGATGAAAACAAATTAAAACCAAAATAAACACTTTAGCTTAATTTCAAATGAAATTATTACTCAGTAAGCAGTTACGACTAGTAAAAAGATGATTTTGAAACATAAAGTAAAAGGAAATGCACATGAATCACCGTAAATTTACCCGCTTAAATTACTTTCCGTAATTTGTCAAATATTATCACTTCAAAAAGAGAATTTGCGTCGGTAGCATAGCGGTTAGGACGCTAGCCAACCATGCACATGGTCCAGGGTTCGATCCCCGGCCACAGGACGCACTCCTTTACCTCGCTAAGCCAGAAATAATGCTGGTAAAGAGGAAAGGTTGGGCATGAGGCTAGCAAACCCATCCTGTAAAATAAACACTGCTACATAAACTTCAAGCCACTAGCTTGAAGCCCTATGTTCAACTGGGGAACGTGAAGGAAAAAAAAGAGAATTGATAAGCATTCAAAAATAACAAGTGACCCAATGGAGTATAAACTCTCGCAGAAGAATGTAGAAGTTGGCTTAAATATCACATGTGGTGGCCGGAAAATATCAAATTATACGTTCACCGTAGAACAGTAAAAATAATGAATTCACACAAAATCCTGGTTGTTACGTGATATTGAACAAGGACACCACCTAATTCCGCGCACAATACGGACGACACTTCTTTGCTCCCCAGCTTCTCACTTTTCACGTCTGCCAGCGAACTCTGCCTCGTACCTGGTCAGTACATCCGCATTAGGATCCTTTGGTCCAATCTACTTTTCTTTCCGAAATTGTCCTCCGACCGGTGGCATCTCTTACGTGTAGTGAGCATCCGTATACCCAAGAAGAGGACTATTTCATCCCTAACATTCTGTACGTCTATATCTGAGTATTTTGGGATAATTATAACTTTTCAAATAACTGCATTTTATGTGTATATTAATTTATGAGGACTGAATACCCTTCTACATACATACATGTTTGTATTCGTTTCGCCTTTTTATTTCGCGTATAAACGAACTTAGCCGTTTAGTTCACTACATACTCTACACTTTAAAGTTCAGAGATACACTGTTTCGTTTTAGTGAGGGTGTAATAAAAAGATAAAGATGTAAGGCTACTAATAAACATTTTTAACAGAGATTGTACTTTAAATGGAGTAGACAGAGATATCTTAGTTAATACATTATAACTTATCATAAACCTGCTTTCTTTATAGCTTAGTTATTGCTTCTCCACAATTACAAGAAACCAGAAACATGAATATGGTAGGGATTGTATTGAGTACCAATTAGTAATCGAACACATTAACAAATCACGAATATAAACAAGTGTTCATACGATATATATTCTGAGTAATGCAATATCATGGACAAAATGATGGACAACATTCAAAAGTTCATTATAATAATGAATTTGAAAGATGAACTTAATTTATTCAATTAGGTAAATTTTATTATTCCCTTTGAAATGGTCCTAAAGCGCTGTTAAACTAAATTTGTTGTTCAGACAACAAAAAAGGCGGTTTTCTGTCGATCAAGTTTCTGTTACCAAAATTATCTCACATTATGATTCATTTAATTTGTAATTTAAGCAATTTGGAAACTACTTGAACACTATGGAGTGCAGTGCCCAAGTCTTTATCAACTTCATTCAGCATCTGGCTATATGACAATGCCACTTGTCAGGTGATCCACAACGGAATACTCAGCGAGGCGTTTGAAGTGAATACAGGAGTAAGACAAAACAGGCTGCATATTATCACAAATGATATTCCTAATCGTGGTGGACTGGATTACGCGGAAGACTGTGTATGGGTGTGAGGAGACAGGAATACGGTGTGTGGTGAGAGCTGTCTACTAGCCAAATTGGTAGACAGTAATTTACGTCAATATTTACGTTCCCAAGATTTGTCGTGAGAAACAACCAATAGGAAGACTGTGTTTGTTTGTTTACATATCCATAGAAATGTACATGAAAATATATAAATATGCGTTGATTTCCTTAATAAATGATCTGTTGCCTGACTCTTGCCTTCTGTTGTTACAGATGGATCAATCAGAAAACTAGAAGATTTAGATTTCGTGGATGATTTATGCCTAATCTCACACAAAGTCAAGAACTTACAGGCGAAAACCAACAAACCGACACAAGAGGCAGGCAGAAAAGACTATACTCCATGTGAACATAGAGAAGATGAAGGTGGCGAAGATAACCAACCAACAGCAACAACAACCAGCACCGAACCCCATCAGTGGGGGAAATATGAAAGAGGTCACTTCCTTCACAAATCTGGGAAGCATCGTTTCAACCACAGTCAGTTATTCTATATCGGTAAGAATCATGACCAGCGCGTCACGGAAAGCAGTTCCAACAGGTCACTGTAGAATTTTATCAATAGCTGCATTCGCTGACTCCATATTGAAGATCAAATGACCGGCTGGTCAGAATGAATTAGCAACAAGAAACTCTGGCGATGAACAAACCAACGGAAAACCTATAATTCGACAAATATATGGGAGAAAATGGAGATGGATGGGGCACACACTGAAGAGACCATCAAATGACATCGCGCGTGATGCAGGCCATCGCTCGAGTGGAATCCGAATAGGAAACAATGAGTGGGTCGTCATTTCGAGTGTGACATGGAGGGGATCGTGTGAGGAAGAGATGAGGGAGTTTGGTCAATCATGGACCCAGCTGAAGAGGACAGCACAGAATAGAAGAGAGTGGAGATGTGCTGCTGAACCCCTATTTTCATATATATATATATATATATATGTGTCTTATTTCCCACAAACTGGAAGATATGCAAACGAAAAGCAACAAGTTCGCAGAAGAAGCATCAAAGATAGGACTTCAGGTGAACATAGAGAAAACAGAGGTCATGAAGATTCCTGGGTAACACCACCAACAGCAACAACAACAACAGACAACAATCAGCATAAATGGGAGGAACCTGAAAGAAACAACCTCTTTTACCTACCCAACTGGGAAGCATCGTTTCAACTACAGGCGGAACTGACGAGGATATCAAAGCAAGAATCGGAAAAGCAAGACAAGCTTTCACTACTCTCAAGTCTGTGTGGAGGTCAACAACACTCAGCATCAAAAATAAGATCCGGATTTTCAACTCCAATGTGAAGTCAGTGCTACGTGCTATGCGGATCAGAGACTTGGCCAGTGCGTCATAAAGAGCATCTCAAACAAACTACAGACCTTCATTAACAGTTGTCTTCGCTCAATACTCAAGATCAGATGGTCGGCCAAATAAGATCAGCAAGAGGGATCTCTGGCAATGAGCTTACCAACCAGGAATCGATTATGAGACAAATAGGCAGTAAGAAATGGATAAAGATGGGCCATACTCTTAGGAAACCATCAAGTGAAATCATTAGACAGGCCATCGCTCAAGTGGAACCCGAAAGGGAAGCGGCGAGTTGGTCGTCAGTGCGAGGGTGACTTGGAGGAGGTCATGTGAAGAGGGGATGAAAACGTATGGGCAGACGTGGAGCTAGGTGAAGACTCTAGCAGAGAACCAAACGCATTGGAGACGCACAGCTGAAGCCCTATGTCCTTCTAGGAATTAAAGGAAACAATATATATATATATATTTATATATTGGTGTTTAACCGTACTCTTCACACTCCTAAGTTCAACTATCTATTCTTGTAGTTAAGTGAAGAAATATTTATATTTATTTTGATAGAAATTATTGTAATAAAATATATTAAAGCGTACTAAATGTTCCGATGTCATACAAGTGTCATGACTATAAACAAATGTATTAAGGTACATGAAATAGAAAAGCCAATATTATGTGTATAAATGCTTTTATACAGGGAATACACTTAATAATAATAATCATATTTTATTATTAACTGACAAAAATAAAATTCCCTTTCTTTTCATCATATGACAGATATCTTTCGGAATAATGTAGATAAGACGCACTGTCGATGAGATCAACACTAACAACTATGCAAAGAGAGACAGAGAGAGAGAGAGAGGATTGATTATATTGGTCTATCTTTGATTCATTCTATGATGAACAGCTAGACACTGTGATGATGATGATAATAATAAGTGATTCTTACATAATTCCGCTTTTCCTATGATGAATTTTTTTCCCGTTGACTAGACTAGATGAAAAAAGTATTATTCTGATAAAAGTACATTATAAATCGTTTCATCTTTATCACAATCTTTTGTTGATAGCAGCCATTTAGGCTACTTTGATGCAAATAACTTTTAGATATTGGATCAGACAATTGATCCTAATGAAATAACTTCATTTCAAGTATGATTATGGATTATTTCCATGATCTCACCAGGGATCGAACCCAGAACCTGCTGTTTACGAGGTGAACTCGTTGACCAGTCAATCACTTGGACGAAGTTTAATCGTTCAACATGAATACGGACTGTTGAAGAATAACCAACTAGGAGGTGGCAGCTATTCATAAATCCTTGATTTTGAATGGTTGCCTAACTGATATCAGTTCATGATGAAGCATGAAATCTATCAAAACCCTTACAAAGTAACACTTGAAATAGCTTGAAATGTTTTTATACAGCTGTTATTCTGTAGATATACTTTGAAAAATAGGCTGAAAATGCATTGGTGAACTATTCAAACGGGTTAGTGAATTCGTGGAGTAGAATACTTTCACCTCTTTATATCTGCTTTGTTTCTAGTGTATCACCCATTTTTCCAACCTCATAGTAACCACTTGTCTGTGCCTAGTTCTTCAGGATCATTTATTCCTAGTATCTAACACTCCTCTGATAATAGCTCAATATACCCTTGAACCTATTATTGAGGCAATGAATTCTAATGATGCCTGTTATACGACTGAGCTTGTAATCAATCCTTAAAACAGAATTTACAGATGTTTCTAAATACAGTAGTCAGGTTTTGGATAAAAAAAATGAATACGGATTTTCCAGGTATCTTAATAACCACTTTGGAACATGTTCTTTTTGAAGACATTGGAACATTCTATTGGTTCTACCTATCTAGGTGTTACTGCAACTGTAAATGAACTTTTAGATACAGTTTGAAGTGGAGTCCACAGAATTTGGTCCTTTAATCGTAGGTTTAAGGATCGAAAATGTTCGAGATGTGAGGGAAACAGATGAGGCGTAGAATGTGCGTTTGATGGCTGACCAAAGTCTTTGAGCTGTCAACTGCACAATTTGATCACCTTTGAATGGTAAGGTAAAAAAGATAGCTTTCTTTGGTACAGAAGCTGTCTTTTCAAAATCTGGTTTATCGTTACTGTGGCAATTAATAATGTTTTCTGGATAACCATCAGCTAATAAAACTGAATGTACGTGTCGAAGCTCATCCATCAATGTGTCGCTCGTGCATACTTTGACAGCCCCAGAAAACAAACATTTCACTACGGAACGTTTATACTGGATACGAACAGAACTGGTGAAATGAAGATATTGTCCACTCCATGTCTGCTTGCGAAATATAGATAGCTAGGAGGGACGATGCGAAGATTAAGCGATGTGTTTTTTGTAAGCAGACATGGATTGGACAATATCTACATTTCACCAGTTTTGTTCCTATCCAGTGTAAACGTTCCTTAGTGAAATGGTTATTTACTAGGGATCGCAAAATATGCATGAGTGACACATTGATGGATGAGCTTCAACGTGTACATTCAGTTTTATTAGCTGATGGTTATCGAGAAAACTTTATTAATTGTTACAGTAAAGAATAGACCACATCTGGACGAACCTCACTGGTCACAACTTCTCACCAGAACTCCAGGTAACCTCTTCCTCTAGCCAGTTACTGGCGATATGACTAAAGGTAAGACCTTGATTTGGTGATTACAAAACACAGAAATCGCAAACATTCATTCTCGACACTTACTTTCTGTGCTTGTCTCTTATCAGACCGTTGACTTTGATTATAAATACGAGAGAAGTTTGACACAATGACAGGAACTGGTAAGGCAATCACAAGTACTCCAGAAAGTGAACACATACCGCCAACAATTTTTCCAACTATCGTTTCTGGAACCATATCACCGTATCTAAAATGTAATATACAAAATACAAACACCTTTAATTGTCATTCTTAGATATTATTCAATTTTATTGCAGGATTACCATCGACATAAGCACAAAAAAAGTTAAGTTGAGAATATAATACAGGCATAAAAAAAGAGATAGAAATCAATAATAAGTGAATGACAAAAGAAAATGAGCAGTAACACAAGAAATGCATTGAAGAAGTGTTTATGCATTTCCTATTACGCTTCAGAAGAGGAGTTAGAAAAAGGGGGAAGCATTCGAGTTTAGCAGACCTGATGATGTCATCATCATATGCGACAGCATAAAGTGATATATTGCCGTATTCACAATTAATCAAGCACACCAACATTAGTGGGAAAAGAATGCGTCACTTTGACATGCAGAACTTAATTAAAATGCTACAAAAACTTGACAGCAGAAGCTGCATAACCTAAAGTTTGGGCATGTCAATTTTAAAAGTAACGAACTACTAATATTTCAACTGATTAAAAAGGCCCATTCAGACTTTTTTCAAAAGATGGGTACTGAACAAAGAATATTCTTTTTGATAACTTCATCATCAGCTTCTACAGTTATATGAATCAATAATAGCGAATAAACTAGTGTTATTAACAACATTAATGTTGTTTAAATCACATTGAAACCATATTGATAATGTCAATGGATTACAGTTCGACAGCATCAACATAACACTGCACACTGAATATCAGACAAATTAGGAAAGAAAATAATACAAATTCATGAATTGATAGTCTCCACCGAAGGCCAGGGCAGTAGTAGTGGCTGGCTTGCGTTGCTTCTTCTGCACACAAAGCACTGGTTGTTTAAGGCGAATCGCAATAGTCTCGGCGGTTTGGAGTCTTCGGTAGCTGGTTGGCAATTTATTTCGTAGCTGGTAGATGATAGAGAAGAATTCTTCAATGCTGGCTTTGTGGCCGGTTCGGACCAGGTGGTCTAATATTGAGCTGTTGATGCTTGTAAGTACACCTATTTAGCCACACTGGTAGATGTTCCTGAGCGAGTACGAAAGATCAGGTTCCTAGAGCAATGGCCAATATAACTCGCTCCACCACAACGCAGTTGAATTGGTAGATACAATTAGAAGTGGCCAGTCTAAGTACTTTATCTTTCAACTGAGGAATCACCATCGGTCGTGTAGTAAACATGACTTTAAGTTTACCAGCATTAAAATTTCTTTGAATGGATTTTCTTAACTTGTTAGGAATTATCTCACTGGGTACGTCACCCTTGAATTGCAGTCGTATGCATAAAGACTTATTTGCAGATGGAGAATAGTCCTTTTCTGCTTTCCTGGTCATGTGTTTCCTGATGAACTTTTCTGGATAGCTGTTTTCAATTAGGGTGTACTGTTATATTGATGTCATAGAACTGTAATCCATTGATATTATTATTATTGATTTGACGTTATTTAAACGACACTAATGTTGTTAATAACACTAATTCATTCACTATTATGTATACATATAACTGTATAACCTGATGAAGAGCAGGTTATCGAAAAGAATAATCTCTGTTCAGTAACTATTCTTTTGAAGAATTACTAATAATAAGTAATCATAAGAGTTGTGAATAGTGTTAATAGTAAATGAAATGACTTAGAAGTCTACATACGGAGAAGAAAAAACTACTTGAATATCAATTATAATGAAATATAACATTTAACAAGACCATGATAAAAAAAATTAGTAAGCTTAACAACGTAATATATTACACCGAGGAAGATGATAAGCAACCCTCACTTCGGCCTGCATAGAAAAGCTAAGTTTTATAGACTGTGGTCGCACAAGTCCATACGATTTCAAGTACCTTCTTATTTCTTACTTATGATGTTTTGAATACTATGTAGATAAATTGCAAATTTGTCGAAACCATTCAATATAATGGCGATAAGTAAAAGTCAGTCCATATTTTATCACTTATTAAATTATTAGGTACGTCATAAATGCGCTGCGACAACTGATAAATGTTTCTCTTGTATTTTCTGTATTTTTCCTTATTCGCTAGGTTGAAGGATTACGTCATGAGCTGACATCATTTAGAGAACCAGTGGAAGTCCCAGGAGTACTGGAAAGCTCTTCCGTCAGCCTAGTTTGGGGCTCGTCATCAGTGTTCACTCCAGGGGTTATAATGCAGGACATTCTGCTTACAAAGCAGGTGACATCGTAAACCACTAAGCCACTGGCACCCAATGCGAGGGCCCATGAATTCTAAATTCTGCCAATTCATGACATAGCGCGACCGCTATTGAAAATGAATTGAAATGAATTGGGCGTACGCTGAGGAGGCCATCAGATGACATCGCGCACATTGCAGGTCATTGCTCGAGTGGAATCCCAATAGGAAACAAAAAGTGGGTGGTCAGTGCGAGAGTGACATGGAGGAGATCATGCGGTGAGGAGGAGATGAGAGATGATGGTCAGTCGTTTACCCAGCTGAAGAGAACAGCAGAAAATAGGAGAAAGTTACTGGATCCCTATGTTCTATCTGGAATCCAAGGGAACAATAACAATAATTACCTCAGTAATAGTCACTCTGTGGCACGATCACACAGTGAGAAAGATTTAAAGGCCACTGGTAATGAAAATTCACATATTCTTTAATAATGTTTCGGTACTTTAAAAGCATAATTGTACAACAACAGGAAGAGTTTCGCACCTCTTATTATTCATATTAATTTCTTATACAAAACTATACGCAATTGCAAACCAAATTTAATCCTTATTCAAGTTACGAAAAGTAGGTGAATGCATGCGTTTAGGCTTAATTCATCATTAAATATCCTTGTCAAAATTAATAAAGTTTGACAAATGATATTTTTTGGATAGAGAGACAGGAGAGAGAAAGAAAGAAAGATATAAATCTACACGAACTAACCTTCAACACTTTTTAAAGATTATCGTTTTAAACTTAATGTCTAACAAGAGAATATTCTCACCAGAACAACCTAAACATAACTATTAGATAGATGAAATACTCCCTTGTCCTCAGCATATTATTTTTCTTTTTCATATAAAGTATTAAGTGAAATTCGATCTTTTCAATCCTCGTTTATATTATGTTTATTATGTTTAACATGATAAGAAATACCAAACAAATAAACGAACACAGAGAAAACAATTCAAAACAAGGACAAATATTAGTTGGAACTGTGTAGGAATAAAACAAACCTATGTCATACTAATAAACATTTAATAGTGCTATTAGATGGTTGGAGGCAGTCAGCAGGAAGCCACATCTGACCTAGGTTTCGTGTTAGTTGGCACTGACCAGTCAGCAAGGCGAATCCACAAGGCTGAAGGAACCCATGTCCCTTCTAAGATTCGAAACAACGTCACCCATTGAGCTATTCGATTCTCAGAAGGGACATGAGTTCCTTCAAGGCAGTTGCAGATACGCCTTCCTTGCCGACTGGTGACTGCTAACTTACACGAAACCTAGGTCAAACAATCCTTCCTGTGGCCGATTGCCTCCAATCATCTAATATCATTAAATCAATGTGCACCGTGATGGCGAGCTACCTAGAATGGTGGCTACATTGCAAACCTGACTGATAGAGTTCAGTCTGCACCAAAAAGAAAGGACTAGGCACATCACACTAGTTACTAGTATCCAATCAAAGTAGTACACAGTGCCTCTGTGAAGTTAAATTTCGTCACTTTGATATTTTATGTATATGTGTTTTTAAATTAGTATGTTTAAACGAGGAGAAAACAAGGGGTATTCTTCACATCCCTCAAAAATAAGAAGAAAATTTAAGCCCAATACAAATACGTTCGGAATACAAGGATATTTATTTTCTTTTGGATGCCCACTTTAGTAAGAGTAATCTCTTAAAATATGTTTTTAAAACATAAGAAGTGAAGTTCACAAGGGACTTTCTTATTTAAAAGTTGACTGTGTACAAGTTTATTCTATTCTACTTAGCTTTTAAGGATAAACATATAAATCTAGGTCAAAAATCGTACAGTTATGAGTATTATAATAATAATATTATTATTATTACTGTTATTTTTCCCTTGAATGTTTTGTTTTCCTACCAGCTACAGAATGTCTGTCTTTTTCTCCTTCATCATATTTTCTTCTTTTAAAAAAAAGAGGAATTTTAACGGCATAAATCAAAGCTCCAGATGTCAAAAAGAAAAAGTATTCGATAATCCACTCGTTTATGATAATGATAGATGATGGTAAAAATAAAATTTCTGTTTTACTTCAAAATAAAATTCTTCTGGTATATGACTGCTTCAGTGAAACAAATGTTTTTTTTAAAATAATTTATTTTCAAGACTAACAACAAAGTTATGAAGAAAAAAACAAAACACAGGAAGTTTAGAACGAAGCGCAAAAGTAACTTAAATTCATCAACAAAGTTTGATAAAGATATATTGGCAATAAGCGAAGTCAAGTCCGCAAACGTATTCTGGAACACTGTCCAGCTTGGCTAGCTAGCCAAAGAAGAAAAGAAGAATACCTGCAGCTCCATCTTCGAACATCTTGTCATCTCTGGACATTGAGCACTTCCGCATGAATGCTTCACAGTGCTACACAGAGTCCCTCAATATCGTACGACAGGACTTCAGCAACGCCATCTGTACATAACTGAATCATTGGCTATTCGGGATCTGAAACCGGACCTCTGCATTCAAAAGCACAACATGCATTCACTCGCACTACCGTGGCCAGAGTAACGTTCTCACTATAATTTTGCTACTTTTCTTTATGTGAGTTTACTATTATTATCACCATCATTATTCTCGTCGTCCTTATTTTACTATCACTACACTACTGTTTATTAATAACACCGAGTCTTCATACAGATTTTATAAAAACATTTTATCGCCTTTACGCTAGTTCTTGTCAACTCTCTGACACTTATTAAGTCATTCCGACTTCTGCCCCTTTTATAATTACCAATTAGTCATCCCTTCTAGACTACACCTTATATTACGTAATATATTTTTGAGGACAAATTTTACCACTATCGGATTGGTCTTATGAATCGTTTATATGCGTTGATCACGGATTGATATCAGTTAAAGAACCATTGAAAACCAGGAAGTAGTGGAGTACTGATATCAATCCGTGATCAATTCGTAAAAACAAAACTTATCGTTACAAACCAACTATAGAAAATTATGAATTCTTTATTAAATATGATTGTGACTGTACAGCTTATGAAAATGAATCGTCGAGAAGAAAATTTTCTTTGCTGCTTACGTGTTTTTCTTGTGACTTAATGTGGGAATATTTCGTTTAAAGATATATACTATTTGTCCCACAATGTTTAAATTTGCTGGGATATTTGGGCGGAAACACAAAAACTAGTTGAATGACTCCATCTCTAGTCAGCTGCACTTTCCACTAGTCGGCATGTAAACAGTTGAAGGCTTTTCTTCTCTTTATTGCAAAACACCTCCGGATGAGTCAGTGAAAGGCAACAGCATGAATGTTATAGCAACGCGTGTGCTTACTACTTTGCTGGTATTTCATATTTTTAAAAATTCCAATTTTTCCCTTTGTGTTCTGAATGAAGCGTCAGGCTTCAAATTTGAGCTTTAAGGCTTCAGTAACTCAGTGGGTTTTTAATAGAGTCTCATGCCTAAGCTTCCCTCTTTGCTGGGTTCACTACCATCTTAGCGATGTTTAGGACTCCCTTGGCAGCCGATTGAACCTTAGACCACACCACATGCGTGGTTAACAAGCATTCTACCATTGCACCACCTACGCTTTAAATTGGGGAGTACTGGACAGCTGTTTCGCCCTAGTTTGAGACTCGTCATCAGTACGCATCAACTTCCAGGGTTCGAACCCAGAACCTTCTGGTTACGAGGCGAGTTCGTAGACTAATCAGCCACTGGAGAGCTATTTTCTTTACATTTTGATATCTCCAGATATTTTTTATCTCTGTATATTAAATTTGAGTCTGTAAATAAACTGTATGTTTACTGTGAAGATGGGAATCTACTGAAATAGTGGAGTTAATCAAGAACAGTAGTTGCTTCTTAAATGACATGCACTTTATTGATTTAAAAGGGTAAAGAAGAAAAAACGCTTCCCATCAATAACTGAATAGAAAAGTTGTTAGAGGCAAAATTTACTGCCAAATATTAACTTCCAGTTCATGAGACAGAAGTCGGAATTAAAATCAGCCTAATGTATATTTATACAGCCACTCAGAATTATGCAAACAGTGTAGGAAAGAAAAGTGATGCCAGCAATTGTTGACCTATTTTTGGTTATCCTTACCTGATAATAGTGTTGACTGACCAGCTTTAAAATTTATGACATTGTTAGACTATGTATAAAAACGATTTTCTATAGTTTGGTTTGTAAGGGATAGTTTTGTTTTTACGAGTTGATCACGGATTGATATTAGTAAGAGAACCATTGAAAACCACCTACGAATACTGGACAGCTGCTGTTTCATCCTAGTTTGGGAATCATCGGCAGTACGCACCCACTGGAGCCAATGAGGTCCAATTAAACGTTGCGTGGGTGGATGGATATCCCACCAACGACAATGGTTGGGTTCGCGCTAAATCACGAATTGGTAGAAGTTAGAATTCATGAGCCATTGAATCGGGTCCCAGTGGCTGAATGGTATACGAGCTTGCCTTGTAACCGGAAGGTCCTGGGTTCGAATCCCAGTGGGTGCGTACTGCCGATGATTCCCAAACTAGGATGAAACAGCTGTCCAGTACTCCCTGGTTTTCAATGGTTCTCTAACTGATATCAATCCCCGACCAACTCGTAAAAATATAAAAATGATATGAAATTTGCACTTCAGCATTTTAAGTCAATCTTCTTACGTACTGCTTAAAGTATACTGGTGCGTTTAGGTTGTTATTTCCTTCAGTTTAACTGAATGTGCGTGCCTCAGACCTTCAGAAGATTCAAGATGAATTACGTTAATAGATAAAATACATCAGTGGTTTGACTACATTAAAATACAGGCAATATAAATCGTTTTATATATCTCTAAGAACAGGAAACTTTGCGACACTTTGAAACCTCAAGGGAATCTGGTACGTTTACTGCCAAATATTATAAAACGTAAGATGACGTTTCGATTGCAGGATTTAAAGTCTTTGCAAAGAGAGCGTACCAGCATTTAGGGGTCATTCAGGTGACATTAAAAATGACAGCGCAAAATTCTAAGTGGAATATAGGGGTTCAGCAGCACATCTCTACTTTATCCTGTTCTCTTCAGTCCTCTATGGCTTGGCAATTTTTCTCCTTAAATGATCTCCTCCATGTCCCCCAAAGATCTACATCTAACTCTTCATTTCCCATTCGGATTTCACTGTAGACTGTGCCTGGCGTTCTGTGTCAATCAACAGTCTCCTTGGCGTGTATCCGACCCATCTCCACTTCTTTCATCATATATTTGTTGGGCAATAGATTTTTGTTTAGTTCATTCGCAGAGTTGTCAGTTGATTATCCTTTCTAACTACTTGACCTTCAGCAGCAAGCCAGCGAATACAGATTTTGGAAATGCTTTCCGTGAAGCAAAAACTCTCTGAACCAATATAGAAGGACTGATTTGAAATTAGTTTTGAAAATCCGAAAACAAAGTTACATGAAACCAGTTAATGAACATAAGTTATCTACCAGATGTTTTTTATGTTTTGTTGTGCTTTTAGATATGAGATGTGGTGTGCGATGTGTTAAAATGCTTCATTTGAGAATAACAATGACAGTCAACTGATGCTTCTGGATATGTCCTTGAGATGAAGAGAAGATAATTCAAATGGATAGTAGATTTACAAAAAGCTAATTTAAAAGCGAGGCGTTCGAAGTAAGTACAGAAGAAAGATAAAACAGGTTGCATATTATCACTGATGATTATTTCAATTGTGTTGAAATGGATTATGCGTCAGACTGTCAACAGGGAGTTAGAAGACTGGAATACTTTGGACCGACCGATGAGGAGACTCTAGAAGATCTGGATTTCGCACGGGAATGATTTATGTTTAATGTTATACAAACTCGAAGATTTACAGATGAAAACCAACAAACTGACAGAAGAGACAGGCAGCGAAGACATAGAGAAGATGAAGGTGATGAAGATAACCAACCAACAACAACCACAACCAGCACCAATCAACATCAGAGAGAGAAATTTGAAAGAGGTTACTTCCTTCACTTATCTAGGAGGCATTGTTTCACCCACAGGCACTCGGAACGGGTGAAGATGTGAAAGGCAGTCATAAATGGGAAGGCCAGATACACCTTCATCAATCTGGAATCTGTCTGGAAATCTTCTGCACCCAACCAGCATTAACAACGAGATTCAGATTTTCGATACAAATGTCAAGTTAGTCAGTCATTCTTCTTTATATTTTTTTAAATTTTTATTATTTTAGATTGATTCCAAACAGTATTTTGGTACACGTATAAAATTTTCAGCATGTGATGTCGGTAGTCCAAATTTAGCAGGCCAACAGTTGATATCGGATGTGCGTCGGTCAGGGATAGAACCCCGGACAGTTTGAATGGTCAGCGAACGTCCTAACCACTGTATCATCGACGCACAGAAACTTGCACTGCGCATCACCAAAAGCATTTCCAACAGGCCATTGCAGAATCTCGTCAACTGTTGCATTTGCTGACTCCATACTAAAGTCAAATGGCCGGCTGGACAGAGAGAATTAGCAGCAAGAAACTCTGGTTGGCAACAAACGAAGGGAGAACTTATGATTCAACAAATATTTAGGAGAAAATGGCGGCGGATCTGGAACACGCTGAAGAGACCGTCAGTGCTGGCCATCGCTCGAGTGAAATTCGAATGGGAAGCGACGAGTGGGTCGTCGGTACGAGGGTGACATGGAGAAGATCTTGACAGGAGGAGATGAGAGATTATGGGCAGTCGTATGTCAAGCTGAAGAGGACAGCAGAAAGTAGGAGAAAGTGGATATGTGTTGTTGAAGCCCTATGTTCCACTTGGAACCCAAGGGAACAATAATAATAATAAGTTACATCGAGAAATAACTACGCTTCCTCAGGATTTAATCACTGTATAAATGACTTGATCAAATAGTTATTTAAGAGGATTCAGTATATTTGTAGAGGTTTAATGGTCAATGATAGCATCAAAAACTGTAGGATGTTTTGTAAAACTCTCACTGTTGTAGAAAATAACCGACTCTGATGACTATAGTTTCCTCTGCCCTCTATCAGTAATTATAATGAGAGGAGAGTGTGACTAACTCCAAGACGGAATTATAACCTGCTATTACACAACCATGTTATGCATTCCAGCTTATCGATTTTGAGAAGACAAAACAAGTACTTCTCCAGAATAATTAGCGCTGTTTAGACAGTTCTGTGCGTCGGTGGCATAGGGGTTAGGACGCTCGCCGACCATGCACATGGTCCAGGGTTCGAGCCCCGGCCGACGAACCCCTTTACCTCGCTAAGCCAGAAGTAATGCTGGTGAAGAGGAAAGGTTGGGCATGAGGTGGCTAGCAACCCCATCCTGTAAAATAAACACTGCTACAGAAACGTGAAGGAAAGAAAAAGACAGTTCTTTCAGACAATACACTTAATATAACTATACGACACGTAGACACATACACAAGTGGGTAGAATATATAATCTTCCTGTCGTAACTACAATTTCACCATTGTGAAAGTTATCAAAAATGTTTATGAATCCTGTACTGAAATTATGAACTGCATAATGTATTAATGTATGCCAAAGTAATTTTAAACCTTCAAAACAAGTAGAAAAAAAAAAGATTTGTAAACGTATTAGCTATTCTCGTAAACATCTGTGTTTTCAATTCATTAAAAATGCTAAATATATGACTTTTTTTTTGTAATTTAAAACATCATGTTAAAATGTATTCAAGAAGGAAAGCACGTAACATTTAGGAAAATGGAAAACTTACCCAAGTGTAGTCATGGTGACAATAGTGTACCAAAATGATGATGGGATACTAGAAAAAGTAGTTCCTTCAACAGATTTCTCAGCATAATACATAACAGTAGCAAAAATAATAATGACCATAGTTAGACTAAATAGTAGGAAACCCAATTCAGATGCACAAGATTTCAAGGTGTAACCAAGTATGCGTAATCCAACACTATGACGTGAAAATTTGAACACTCTGAATACACGAAATACCCGTAATGTTGTGAATACACCAGAAACACTCTGTAAATGAAAAAAACAACAAAAAGAACATATTTATTTTATTCTTCATAATGATGTATAAAAAAGATATTAACTTGCCTCACGTCTGAGTGATTGTGAACTGTGTGTCAGTGAACAATTTTTATTTATTTATTTATTTTTTATTCCTTCATGTTCCCAGTGGAACATAAGGGTTCAAGCTCGAGCTTTGAAGTTTCGGTAACAGTGATGTTCATTTTTATTGCATAGCGTTGCTAAGCTCATGCCCAACCTCTCCCCTTTACCAGTCTTACTACTGGCTTAGCGAGGTAAAGGAGTGCGATGGCCGCGGATTAGTGGTTGACGAGCATCCTACCGCTGTGTTGCCGACGCGAAGTCAGTGAACTATACAAACAGCGAAAATAATACTGACTAGTAGATTATATTGGCCGCACAATGCGTACACTTTCCAAACGCATCTCAGAACATTATCCGGCATGGTTAGCAAACGGACCATGCAAGACAGTTACCAGCTTAATTCTCGAGCATTTGGTGAACTCAAGCCATGTAACTACACCAGAGTCGTCTTTGAAGAGTGATTATCTGCAATGTGAGGTCGAGTGGTACAAAGGTCATCAGGTTTCGGCATTTGTTTATGGCGTTGGCGATTCGTCAATACAACCCCGAAATCTGTATGCAGAAGAAGCTTCTCCAGTCTCTTATTCTACCATGGTCTCAACCTCCTCATTAGTAGTACCCTGCAAATTTTTTATTTCTATTTTTAATGATTAGTTTGCTTTTACTTTAATAATTGATTCACTATTATCACTCTCATTTGTTCCTATTGTAAATTTTCTCACTCTCTTCCCACTTGTTAAATGGAAACTCAACTACCTTTCTTCTCACTAAATAATATTTTTAACCTTATCAAATTTCTAACGCTTTCTTCCTTTGTGCCGTTGAGTATTACGTAATTTGCAACTTTTACTCATACTTTTGAAGCCAATTCTGAGTAATTATGTCAATTATGTCACACCCCTCTCTCCATTACTCAGTAATGGACTAATATACCGTTTTGCAAATATAAATACGACTGTACACAGCCTCTGAGGGTGATTTCGTCAATAAAGAAACTTTTCTTCGCTAAATTGTCTTTTAATTTCTTCATGACTCATTTGGGTATTTTCTGTGATTTGAGTTAATTATAACTTTGGCAATTAATGAAAGTGTACATGGGGCAATCGACCACCATAATTATGCAACAAAATTGTGAGATATTTCGTAAAAACATTTACTTTGTCCACCTTGATCTACATGCTTCAGATTTCTAATGCTAAAGCCTTCTCTTACAACTTCAATTTAAATTGCAAAATAAATTCCATCTTGAATAAAACCAACAAGGATTAGCATATAGAAATGATTCCCGAAAAAAAAGTGTATTGTTTCCTGTCATATGGCTATGGCTGTTGAATAAAACAGTATTCATCAAATTCTGCAGTAACATAAAGTGTGAAACTGTTTACATATCTATAGAAGGAAGTCAAAAAATACCACAAATGCTGTTTAAGTTTCAGAGAAGTCGGCTAACATTTCCTGATTCGTTTATTTTGTAAAAGAAAGAGATGTTACCACTCTATAAAATGGGTGAAATAAATATTTTAAGAAAAAACTTCCAGTACTGTTAGGGCAAGCTCCAAATGAAACTCTTCAGTCAATCAAAGCGAATGAAGATGCTTAAAATATTAAAAGAATCAATGTAACATTGAATATCATTCATATCACGAGATAGGAAAAGTCTTTTAAGGTACTAAATTTATGCAAGCAATCCCATTATGGATAGAACTTTATTTTGATGAGTTAAGTATTATTTACTGATGACTACGCTTCGAGCTCATAATCATATCAAGGTACTTACTCGCATAACTTTCTTGCTTCGTTTCTTTGCGTGAGTAAAAATTGATCAGACATATGAATAAAATCAATAAATGACATGCGTGAAACATAAAGGGAGATAAAGTACATTCGGAAACACTATTAGTGTAATCAATAAAATATAATAGGGTGGGAAATAAGACGAGTGTTGTCAGTCAACAAGATGGGAAATAAGATGTTTTCATAGTAAAATAAATAACTTGTTTAAGTGTTACAAAGTGAAATGAAATCAATTTTAACATTATTTATTACCTATTTAATTCAATTTTAGATTTTCCCGTCGGTTGATTAGACCGAAGTACTCGGTCTCAGGATGACATGTCGGCTCCTTGTTCAGATGCTTTGACGATGTCTGGGCAAGTAATTAGAAGTCCTATCTCGGACCCATCATCTGGATGTACCTGCATATCCCGGTGGGTGATAGTGTTCCCACCGAGGCTCGAACCCAGTGCCCATAGTTCCAAAGGACGAAGCGTTATCCTTTAGACCACTTGTGCCACGACAGCCACCTCTTGTATTTATTATTACTATTGTTCCCTTGGGTTTCTAGTGGAACATAGGGCTTCAACTGCACATCTCCACTTGCTTCTGTCTTCTGCTGTATTTTTCACCTGCATCCATGTTAGTCCATACTGTTTCAATTCCTCTTCACACAATCTCCTCCATGTCACCCTTGGACGTCCCACTCGCTGCTTCCCTTTCGGGTTCCACTCGAGCACTGGCCTGACGCGCAATGTCACTCAACGGCCTCCTCAGCGAGTGTCCAATCCATATCCACTTTCTCCTGCATATTTGTTGGGCTATTGGTTCTTGTTTTTTTCGTTCCCATAGTTTCTTGTTGGTGATTCTTTCCGGCCATCTGATCTTCAGTGGTATAGAGCGAAGACAGTTGTTGATAAAGGTCTGCAACAGGCTGTTGGAAATATTCTTTGTGAACCGCTGCCAAGTTTCTGATCCGTATAGAAGAACTGACTGACTTGACGTTTGTATTGAAAATCCGAATTTTGTTGTTGATGCTGAGCTGAGTGACGAAGATTTCCAGATTGGTTTCAGTTTGATGAATGTGTTTCTCGCCTTCCCGATTCTCGACTTGACATCCTCGTCCGTTCCTCGTGTAGTTGAGACAATGCTCCCTAGATAGTTGAATGAAGCAATATCTTTCAAATCCCTCCCGTTGATGGTGATTGGCGCTGGATGTAGCTGCTACTGTTGTTGTTGTTGGTTGGTTATTTTCATAACCTCCGTCTTGTCTATATTCACCTGGAGTCCTGTCTTTGCTGCTCGCCCAGATTACTAGCTCACTAGTTTTCTAGCCGGTCCCAAGCCCGGATAAAAAGGGAGGGTTTGGGCGTGGTGCTAGCAACTCCACCATCAAAACCTTACCAAATCGCTACAGAAACTTCAACGCCACCTCTTGTGCAATGGGTCATATCAATATTTAATTCAAGTGGTCTAGTGGATAACGCTTTGGCGTTTGAAACTATGGGTATTGGGTTCGAGCATTGGTGGGAACATCATCACTCACTGCCGAATGTGAGCACATCCAGTGACGAGTCCAAAACGGGACGAAATGCGCATCCTGGATTCCACTGCTAATCACCATCCACTAATTAAATTATTTATTATCCTCTGATTTGACTAGTAATAACATCTTCCATATATCTGGTATTTGCGTTGAGTCAATTCTGTTGCGTATACTGGGTGTAGACACGATGAACCAGGATTCAGTAATCAATCTCTTTCTCCACCTAACTACCTATATTACTTTTTAGAATTTTGATTCTGTCCCACCCTATTGTAAAGTTGTATGTTGGAGTTAAAAAGGTTCTAGACCAGTAGTTAATATCCTAAACTTTTGGCGGGAAGGTCTGGTTTAGACATTATCCACTTTGCTAGAAAAGTAACTAACTGCGGTTCTCAAGATAAAGATCATAGATGGAAAACTAATTTAACATTAGATCTCTGAGGAATCATGAATTAATCATTTTCAAGTTATTTGTTTAAGTCAACCTTTTTCCCGTCGACTGACTGAACCAAAATATTAGGACTATGCTGACATATTGGCTCCTAGTACAGACACTTCGACAATGTCTGAGGACTAACATGATGTCATTTTGGTGGATGGTGAAAAGCAGTGGAATTCAGGATGCAAATTTCTTCCTATTTGAAACTCGTCAGCTAGATGATACCCGTTGGACAGGAGATGACTCCCGTAGCCCAAGTGGTGTTTAAAACGATGGGGTTTCGGATGCAAGTCTCACTGGGTATTGCAGGTAAATATAACTGATGAGTCCCAAATAGGACGAAACGCTTATCATGGATTTCGATGCTAAGCACCAAATAACTTGATGTTGGTTACATGCGTATGTCTTTTCCATGAGATTGGTCTATCCTATCAAACACACTATATGACAATGTATCACAGAATCTAATCAACCATTAACCTATTGATATCTCAGCTGATATTATTAATTTTTTTAAAACGTGGTCATTACAAAATGATGAATTAACATAGTCAAAGAATAATCAGTTTTCCCAGCTAAACATTTTGCTATATCTTGTTTTAATAATTGCATATACACATAGATTAAAAATAATCCTAATAATTCATTTTAATCGATTATTCCTTTGACAGTATCAATAAAAATGGGTTATATTTTATATATGCATGAATATTTTTTTTATAAAAAAATAAGGAAGTGACAGTTATGGATTAAGGCCATTTACACAATGGGAGATTTAAGTTTGAATTGAGCTAATGACGTAGGTAGGCATGCATGCATGCATGTATACATGTAAAAAGCAGACAGAAGTAGCCAGCTCAATAGAAAATATACATAATAGATTATATATATAATATATATATGTATATATATATATATATATTAAAGGCGTTTACTCGTCGTCTTCATGTATATTATAACTATAACTAAACGTTTAAAGTGTTATACAGGCTTATGCAAGACTATATATATATATATATATATATATATATATGTAAATAGTGTCAGTGAATATCCAACAGCAATTGGAATATGCAATAAGTTTCTTTTACAAAAGTTAGATTAAATATACAAACTCTTACAGGTTAAATATAAAATTCAGGTGAT